TCTGAATACTACCTCATCATATAACGTGCCTGAATACCCAAATGTACATGCATCAAAGCGACAGACATGTACAAAACATATACATGCCATATACAAAATAAAGGATCAATATCATGATCCATCAAATGCGAAAATACTAAAAGACATCAAACACTCCAAAAAGGTAGTAGCCTACAGCCACTCAAAATCCGATCTGTCAACTGCCTCAGCCACGTGTCGTGTCCCTGCCTAGTGAGGACTCACCGGGAATCTGGGCACCTGAAAATATGTCCCCAAAGAGGGGTGAGATTACAAATCTCAATAAGCTCCAGGTTTATAGAGAATTCTCCATACCCCTGGCTCACTCCTGCATGAAAGTCAGATACAAAGTATACGAATACAACATATAACAGATATCATAACAGAACAGAGCATATATACATATCATATCAGAGATGTGCGCCGTCATTCCCAAGGGAGGACCCCAAGCGGAAATCAGTGCACGTGTTCCCGAGGGAGGACCCCAAAGCGGAACCAGACATATCAGAGGCGTACACCATCAGTCCCGAGGGAGGACCCCAAAGCGGACGTCCGGGTACTATACAATCAATGGCCAGAGATTGTTACAGAAATCATATTACAGAAGTCATATCAGAGCAAAACATATCATGTTATCAAATAACTCTATATGAATGCATCTATACAAAGCATCTAAATCACAGTCATACAGTCCAACCATAGTTCACTAACCATGGTGGAGCACTCAAGCAGGAAAAGACTCCTTAAACATAGAGCTTACCTCTTGAAGCTTTACCAATACACTTACTTGTGGACCAAGTTACTTTTATCGCTTCAAGAGATTTCCGATCCTTCTCAATCCCTAGGCACACCTAGAGAATAATTTACAATGCATCAATAAAATGATACTATGCCATGATTATTTCATAAGCATACATTTTATCGCTTATTTTCCTTTCTTTATACTTTTGCCAATGTTATGCCAATACACAAGTCTAGACCACCTTATACTCGTTAGCATTCTTTAATTTAAATCAAGTATTCACTTGAGAATTTTCAATATCATTCATGCCATTTTACTTCAAACACCGCGGACATACCCTTAGGAAATCAAAGTATTTTTCAACCATTTTTCGAGTCATTTCACTTCTTAACTCATCAATTTTATACAATGAATTACAACACATTTTATTTACAATAAAATGTAACAAAATATACTCCTATACCACCCTCTAGGTCGAACACTACAAGGACATAGACAAAAGTTCTTTTTCTTCACTTACACGTAACTTACACATACAAATACATGTTTTCATAAGGTTCCAACTTAATTTTTGGAGCATAAAGTCCCTCCAAAGCCCCACAAGGCCTAAACCTAAGGGCATATTTCATATAATTTTTCCCACTTTGGCATTCTCACTAATTTATCAAATTTCCACTTAATTCCTACACATTAAACCTTCCTAATACTTAAGATAAAAAATTTGCACAACAACCTACTCTTCACCTATGATGGCCGAACATGTAGAGGAAATCATAGGATTTTTTTCTAATTTTTTTACATACATACAAATGCTTATTTTCATTTCTTACATCCAAGACATCAAAGATTCATCATTAAATCAAAGTTTAATACACAATGCTTTCCTACCAAAACATACTCATAACTTTTATAACTCAAATCATCAAAATAATACCATGGAAATAGAGGTTCATTACCTCCAAAAGCTTATACAAGGTCTAGAAGGTGACCAACAAGCAAGACTCCACCAAAAACCCTCCCTTTTCATCTTGGATGAATAGTAATCCGAAAATGGAGTGATGAATATCACCAAAAACCCCCCCTTTTCACCTTGGATGAATAGTAATCTGAGAATGGAGTGATGAATATCCCCCTCTACAAACGAAATCAGCTCAAATGGAGGGGTGGAATAGCTTCCTTGGATGATTTTCTATGAGATTGGTATATTGGGTGAAAGATTTGGTGGAATATTGGAGGAGAAATCAAAGAAGACAAAACCAAAACCCTCACCCCCCCCCCTTCCATAGCTGCTGATCGGCTCCAAGGAGAGAGAAAAAAGTGTTTTTCTTTGAGTGAATAGTGATCACATAAGTCACTTATGTTTTATAGCACATGTGGCTTTTACCCGGGTATTTTTCTTTCGCGTATTTTCACTTAAACTAACCCGGAACTAACTCAAGACTACAAATATATTTTTATTTTTTCTAATATCATTTACATAAATTTTTATTTCCTAAGGAACAACATTCATAATTCACAGCATGGTTTTTGCACCGTTTTTGACGAAATGCACTGTGAATCACTAATTGTACTTCATTTATTTATGAAACTTAAAACTTATAAACTTATCATTTTCTTGGGCCTATATTGACTTGCTTGGCATATATTGGACTTTCTTATTCTTATTTCATCAATTATTTATTTCTGGATTCTACCGGTTGCTTAAACAGCAGTACAAAATACCCGGTAGAAACACTATTCACGAGATTTTCACGGAAAGTGCCAGACTATACAATTTTTCGTTCTGAACTCACATTTGTCGTCAGAATTATCAAATTATGTCTTTAAAATTATTTTGCTCTTTTAAGCTCTACCGGTTAATTCACAAACTGTAAATTCTCCGGCAGAACGCACTGTTCATAACATAGTCATGATTACAGTCAAAATACTCGGAATCACTCACTGAATCTAATTATGGCATTTAAATCCTTAAATTAAATCTCTAATTAAGATTTACCATTTAGGGTCATTATATATATAAAGTTAAAAAGTTTATCTACATATTATTACAAACAAAGAAATAGATAAAATTAAAAAAATATCATTATTCAATATTAAATATGACTCTATCTATTATATTTTGGAAAATATTTAATACTTTTAAGTAAACATTAATTTTAAAATATTTTAACTGTAAATTTTTTTTAAAATAAAATAAATTAATTCAAACTACACTAAATATTATTTTTTTAATACTCATAATCATAGACGTTTGATTTAAATAACTCATGCAATTTAAAAGTTATTATACAGATAAAATGGGATTGTGTCATGCACCTTTGATTGGAGAACCATACCAAATGTGCTGTCGAAAGTTAGTTGAACAGTTTCTAATAAAAAAAATTTACGTAATTAGAACTATAGAGGGACATAAATTTTGAATATTGAATTGCAAACGTATACCATTAAAAGTTAAAAATAGTCTATTCTAGATGTTTTCTTAATGTATAATAGTCCTTGCCATGGGCTCGAAAGGCAGGAAGACAACCAGGGCAAGCATATGAAACTTGGAGGACATTGGTTTGCTCTTACATGCTTTTGTAACGTAATCAACCTTTTGCTTCAACTTTGAAGCCTTTTATTTTTCTCCGAATAATTGAAGAAGATAGAGTTAGAAAGGCTTCAATTGTTCCCATTCCTTATCCATTTTCTGAGAGTGATTGCTTTCTTTTGCAAGTTACGTCAATTAATAATAACACGTTGCACGTCCCACCGGCCAAATATGATCAAACTTATTCAAATACGTTAGAAAGAAGCTCAAACAATCTGTTTTATTAGTTAATTATAGGTTTTCTTTGGAATATATATGACCGCTTCTGGAACATATTGGCAAATTTTAGTCATTCAAGCAACATGCTACTCGAACTTGTTTTTTATTTCATATTTATTCCTCATCTTATTTCCATCGATGTAGTAGCTATTTAGAATTTTTAGTGTTAAGAGGTGCGTTAAACATTATAAATTATCTTTGTATTAAACTTGATAAAATCACTTTTTTCAACATTAAAAGTTAATATTCACCAGGAATTGATTTCTCTTTTTGTTGTTTAAATCTAAGTGACATGTAATGAATATGTTTGAAATTTGTAGACATTGCACCATCCATGAATTAACAACTCATGAGTTTGACTCTTACCCATCAATTTTTTGGCCTCTATTTTAGACTCAACCACAATTGATTTGAAATTCTTGTGGCCAAAAAGAAAATGAGGTATAAGCAAATGTTTTTCTCGAGAATTCTATTTTTTCTCCCCTTGTGTTTTTAATTGTCCATTTTCAATAGTTGCTTAAAAATATGATCAAATTTGCTTTCATTTCTTCTAGGCCTACTTTTTCTTACATTAATTAGCGGATGTTGACCTTCAGATTGCTTGATCTCGTAAGTTAATTTTGCTAGAAGATTTCTTAGTTATTGGCTAATAAGAATAAAACTTTTATTAGTCAACCTTATTTTGATGGAAAAAAATGGTTACTGATATTCTGTTTCCCAAACATATTTTTTAACAAAATCCTGTTAATCATAGATAAAAAATTTAGTCTTTGTAGTAAAAGAATATTTCTATTCGTACAACTCTAAATTCAATAATCTATACTGAACAACTATACTTGTAGTTTCATCTGATTTTAATATGAAAAAATATAGATGGGGCTGCTTAAACTTAGGTGACGGCGTGACGCCACAGATAAGGCTATACAATTATGGAAAGTTCCAAGCTCAAATAGTTCAAGTATTTTTCACTCTTCCTTAACACAATTTCACACTAAGGATTTTTATTTTCACTTAGAACAAAATCACCACGGGTAAAAATATAAGCTACTCCATTGTTGGATTATTGTGGCTAATATGCAAAATATAGGAATCATTCTTTGACACAAGGAGGGCCACACTGCTCCAATAAGACACGAACTGTTAGTTGGATTAGGTGGCCAACCGTTTACCGTATAATCCCAAAAAAATCAACTGTACCCGCCATAACTCAAATCAGTTTTGTGGCTCATTTATTATATGAAGATTGCATTTTTGTTGGCCATGATATAAACAAATGCCAGCACTTAGCAGACGTGTGTATCAGATAATCACTTTAAGTCTTATCCACTTGAATTCAAAGAGAGATCAACTTTACTTTATTTTCAACCCAAAAAAAAAAACAAATCTTTCCATTTGTTCCATTTTTTCATTTTTTAGGGAGAGAAAGAATCAAAAGAGAGAAAAGAAAGTGAAATTGAACACCGCAATTGCTTTTTCAACTTGGCTTACTACATAAAAAAAAAATATAGCCTAGAGGAAGTTGGCCAACGGTTAACTTCCATCCAAACTTCGTGATTCCTTGGAATCAAAGCAAATTAAGTTAAGCAGTTGATTCTTGGTCACCTTCTGAGACACAACCTTACCTTCCTGACATATCCTTCACACCCTTCTTCCCCATCCTTCTATATACTCTTCATCAGCTCTATCTCTTCTTCATATTCAGCTCCATCCATGATGCTTACCTAGACTTTATCACATCTTAAGCTTTCTGTGCAGTGTGTGATTGTTGAAAGGTTTGTGTTCTTGAAGCTTTGGTTTCTTTTGCTAGGAGTTTAAGTTGGTGCAGACCCAGAAAAGGATCCTTCAATCAAGGTACTTTATCCATCCAATAAGTACCCAAATGGGGTGCTTCAATTTCAAGTTTTCATGATGTAAAGCTACCCTTTTTGTGGACTCAAAGAAATAAAGTAGCTGAATTCAATTCGAAGGCAATCTCATAAGAATTACAGAAGACTTGATCGCTGATACTAGTCTTTCAAATTTGGACAAATTCTGAACATATAGAAGCAAAAGGGGTGTCCTTTGTTCACGTGTTGGGAATTTGTAAGATTGATTTAATTCCAAAGAGAACATTTCCAATGAATTCTAGGTGCTTCCTTCCACCAGAGTCCTTGTTTAACTCAAGTAGTATGGTTTCATTTTCTTCAAATTCTGCAGCAGGAGAAGATAGAGTGGCTAGTGCTCCAAGTAGGCCTCCACGTGCCTCCCCACCTTCGTTTTTGGTTCGGATGGCCATGAGAATATCTAGAGCAAGATGGTTTACCTTCTTGAGAAGAGTATTTCATTACCAAAATGGATCAAGGTCCAGTCTTGGCTCTAATCCTTTCAATTCTAGCAATTGGATGATGCTGGAATTTATTGCTTTGATGGTTCAAATAACCATTACAACATTCACTTTAGCCATTTCAAAGAGGGAGAGACCCATTTGGCCTATGAGGATATGGATAGCTGGTTATGATATTGGTTGTGCTCTTAATCTGCTGCTACTTTATGGGCGCTACCGTCAAATTTATCTGACTCAAAGAGATGCTCTTAACCTTTCTGATATGGAACAACAGAGAAATAATGAAGAAACTAGGTATGTTATGTATTTCAATCTTCAAGAACTTCTTTCATTCAATTTTGTTATTTTTGATGGGTAACAGTACTCATTAATAACCTATAGCGTAGTAATCACTTGAGAAGGCTTAAAAATGGCTTTGAAAAGGTTAACACCATTGTTTTTTGGTTGGAGATAATGTTATAAACTTTAAGAAGAACAAAAAATTTCTCCATGAATTGATTATGATATTTCAACAAAACCAATTGGATTGTTATAGAAAAATACCAAGTACTGATAAAGTTACCATAATTTATCCCCTAAAAAAGTGCTTGGAAGAATCAAATACCCTCACATACCTTTTTTCAAAATGGGATCAATTCTTTACATTTACTATTAAAACACAGTAGATTTTTTGTTTATTGTGATCTTTTCTATCTAATTAACTATAAATCATATGAAAAATGAAAAAGCCTAAGATGGAAGTGTTGTCAACTCTCTCTTTTTTTCAATTAAAAAGTTAATTCCAGTTGACCAAAAACTATATCTAATAAAAGAAAAATTAATCCCTGAATAGCGCCAAATTGGAATTGAATAATTTCTTAAGTTGTTTCTTGTCATGCAATTTTGTTGTAGGAGAAATTTGAAAAATGTAATTTTAATTTGCACTATACTATACAGTGTATACAGGACGTCGCACTTGATGAATAAATGCCGAACTTCACTTGAGCTTTTCTTCGCCATATGGTTTGTGATGGGCAATGTTTGGATTTTTGACTCACGTTTTGGATCTTTTCATCAAGCTCCAAAACTCCATGTGCTTTGCATCACCCTGCTTGCTTGGAATGCAATCTGCTACTCTTTCCCTTTCCTACTGTTTCTGTTGTTATGCTGTTGTGTGCCACTAATTAGCAGCCTCCTCGGGTACAACATGAACATGGCCTTTTCTGATAGAGGAGCATCTGATGATCAAATTTCACAACTTCCAAATTGGAGACATAAAGAAGCTCATACCAAGTTAGAGCTTGGCAATGACTCTAAAGGCAGTGAGAAATCGATCAATGAAGATTCAGTAAGTGGCACCATTAATATATATAGAATGAGTAATGCTACTAAAAAATTCAAATGAAACACAAAAATAACAACTGTATTTACTAGCCCTTGATTTGATATACAGTTAGCCGCTTAAAACTTAACAGCTAGTACAAGTAGTTGAGTTTTTTGTGTGTCAATTGGTTGTGTGAGGAGCATTGCTTTTTCCCTCTCAATTTGAGTATATGCTTAAGTTCCATTCATTTTATGATTTGTCTTATTTTGAATTCTATTGAATTAATAAGTTTGTTATGTTCGGGTGTGCTGACAGGAATGTTGCATTTGCTTAGCCAAGTACAAAGACAAAGAAGAAGTGAGACAATTGCCCTGTTCCCATATGTTCCACTTAAAATGTGTGGATCAATGGCTCAAAATTATGTCCTCCTGCCCTCTTTGCAAACAAGGTTTAGAAAGGGAGAAATAGCTGAGACAACATTCAAGAGGATTAATTTTATTTGGTCATATGTATACTCTTGAAATTACCCTCAAAGTTTTTTTTTTTTTTTTTTTTAACTTTGGTCTATTACATGGGTTACTTGAGTGAGGGTGTACATGTACAGAATAGCTCACCAGTGACCAAAACTACATTAAATACTTGGTTCTAAGGAGTGGACCCTATAACTGTTCAAATTAGTGGATTGCCTATGCATGATTTATCTTTTACTATCATCTATATATTGTGAGATAAGCATCTTTGTACTGAAAATATGTAGCGAATATTATTTCGTTCCTTAATACTCAAAGTAATAAAAAAATTCACTTTTTAGTATACAGTATACTTGCTACTTTTTTTTTTGTAATAATAGTATACTTGCTACTTTGTTGGTCTGTGACCAGGATATTTCCACTGGCATTACTGTGAGGCTTGCTACTTTAATTTGAAGAAAACTAGATTATCATTGTCATATTTATATGGTATTATGGTGGTGGTTAAGGTTCACAAGGTCAAGTTGGGTTGATATTGAATAAACAGATATGATCATATATCATATTTTATAATGTCTATCTATATTAGAATTTGAAAAAAAAAAAAAAAAAACAACTAAATAAATTTATCCAAATAAAAGTTATTATTGAATGCTGAACAGATAAAGGACCAGCTTGAAAGTGAAATAGAAGAATTTGTAGCCATATTTCATTCTCGCAATTCACATCCATGTCACATGGAAACTCAACTGTTGCAAGATTACGATCATGACTCTATGTAGAAAGCCTAAAATTAGTATGAAGTGTCAGACTAAATGACACTAAAATGGTGAAATTAACCTAAAATTGTCAAAAATAAAATAAAATAGTATGAACCAACAGCCAACACAAAGGCACCATGCAGTAAAATTAGCTTAAAATTGTCAAAGTGAGATCAAGGCTCTAAAGAACTTTGGGATACACCATTCCAAAAGCTAGCTCAAAGGGTGGGAGTGTCTAAGACCTTATAAATTTCACATTAGTTGCACATACAACCAATGTGGAACTATATATCTCAACACGCCCCCTCCCACAAGAGCCCATTGGGCTTAAAGAGTGGACAATGCAACAGGCTCAGTCTACCTGTGCTAAGAAACTCCACAAGAGAAAGTGGGGGGCGGCAATGCTCTAATACCATGTAAAGAACCTTGGGATACACCATCCTAAAAGCTAGCTCAAAGGGTAGGAGTGTCGAAGACCTTATAAATTTCACATTAGTTACACATACAACCAACGTGGGACTATATATCTCAACAAAAGCATTAAAATGGTGAAAAGCAGTGATATTTTCTAAAAGTAGCAGAAAGTCATGGAAGTTAAAGATCCCATGTTATAATCTCAATAATATTATACAATATCTTTTAGATATTCTAACAGTCTAAGAAACGCGAAAAATGCCAGCAGAGCATATCATTTTGCTTTTGATAAAGATGAGTAATTTTCATTGAATTATTTTGCCCTCACCATCGTTTACAAAATGGGAATTATTTTTATTATGTTACATAACATAAAACTATCTTCCTACACACACAAATTTTATATGAGACCCACTTTAAATTTTTCTCTTTTTTCTATTCTCTCTCCTCTTTCTTCCTTTTATGAGAATAAAAAATTTGCTTTTATGTTATGTTACGTAACAAAAACAATTCCCTTACAAAATATACATATTTTTTGAAGTCTTCCTAGAGGCTTGTCATAAAAGATAATTTGATGTTATGTCATTAGCATCTACACGTGTACTTTCTCTTTAATTTATGATTTCTTGTCTGACAAGAAAAACATGTCCCATATAAGATAAACGCATCATGAGGTAGCTCTCTATTTTGATCTCATGTCCTAAACCACATGGGGCATAGGATGACAATGAGGTTTAAATATATGACCTCATTCATATTATTCAAAGCCTTAAAGGGACTTTTTTATTTATTTATTCAGGAATACATGCAATAAAGGTAGAGAAAAATACCAGCACCTTCTCCATGTCCACAAAGCATAACTTCGATTGCAAATTGGGCTCGGCCCTTTTCCATTTGATTCGGGTTCATCAAGTAACCAATCTGTTTAGTATTTACATTAGTTAAGAAATGTGACCAACATCATGAGAATTTTTAATAGAAATCTACAAAAAATTTATCAAGCCAAATAAAATAAGAATTCCAATCAAAAGATTTTCTCAAAATACTATTTTGTAGGTCATTTTCATACTCACTTTGCAACTCTTTGCCGTAGAGGTATAAATAGGCTAAGCTAAACTAGGTTTTGACTTAAATAAGTTAGGTCTGTGTAAAAAATATTGGATCTGATCTGATCTGTTAGCTTGTGTAGATCCCAAATTACAAGTTTTGTCTGACCTATATTAAAAAAATAAAAGTCTTGGCATTGGCCTGTTAGCTTATTTAAGCCTATTAACATGCAACCATTAAAAGAATAACAAAAATAATATTACTTTATTATTCAAATTATTAAAATAATAAATTTTTATTTTATTTAAAATAAATAATATGATATAGATAAGCCCTTATAGGCCTGACATGTACAAAAAAACTTATGAGCTATTTCCTAAATAGATTTTTTTTAAAGTATAGACCTGTTCTATTTTACTATTTGTAATAAGTCAAGTCTAGCCTAATATAGGCTAGGCCGTAGGTCTGTGTAGGCCGACCTAATACATTTACACCCCTACTCTTTGATCTTCGTGTAATGACTTATCCGTTATTGTGCTTAGAAAAAAAGATTATTAGAGTTGTACCATATCTTTAAACTAATAGGAATAGTGACCAATGCACCATATGTTGATCATTTTTTTATCAGTATGCCACGCGAACAGTAATATTTATAAAAAATGCCACGTGTTCGAGTTTGCTATAGCAGGCAGCGAACTCGGTATGCTGATGTGACGTGTTTCTGGTGGCCATCTAGTTCGCTACTGGATGTAGTGAAGTAGGTGACAATTAATACTCCTCTGCTCTGACAAAAGCAGAATATGTGGCAGCGTCACAGAAGTTCGCTAAGGGTGATAGAGATCTAAGTAAAATTAGCGTTGGAATATGTGTCTGACACACACAAGTTCGCTACACTAAGTAGCAAACTATGTGCAACTTTTTAAAGTATTTGCTTCTAATAACTTATAAAGGACCTTCTGTCATATTGCATTTGCAGAGTTGCTACAGAGTAAACTGACAAGGATTATGCTATTACTATGTTTGGACTTTTCTAAACACTCAGCCAAAAATCCTTCCCATCAACTGAATTTTGAGTAGACTATGTATTTGAATCAATTTTTAAAATAATTATTTTCATAATTTTTGATAATTTTTTAATATAAGTAATTATTTTTTAAAATTAAATATACACAGAGTATAGGAAAAAATTATCTCATTTTTATCTTGATATAATTATTTCTTATGAAAATGATCTCAATCAATCATAATTTATAATGACAAATCAATATTAATGACCATTTTCTTTTTTCGTGAGCCACCTCTATTTGAAAGACATAGCCTCATCACTAGAGGTGTTAAACGAACCAGAGACTTTTGGCTCAGCTCGTAAAGGTCTGAGCTTACATGTCTAAATTTGATTGTTGGAACCAGGCTTGAATTTATATAAAAGCCCGTTTAATAAAAAAGGCATCAGGCTTCAATTCAAAAGTTCAGCCTTAAAGCCTCTCAGACTGGACTTGTATACTAACTTTTATTTTTATTTTATATTTTTTATACTATTCATAATAGTCATCTCTCTCTCCTCAACCCATTTCACCTTATTTTATTGGTTAAACATACTTTTTGAATGATTTTGTTCTATATTATGCTTTTTGAATATACATTGAATTTGTGAATCTTTGTGAAATTATTAGTGTTATGGATCATATATTTTGTTTAAATAAATTTTTGTTATTTTATTTTTTTAAACAGGCTAAACAAGACTTTTATTCTTTGTAAATAAGTCAGGCCACAAGCCGATAATTATATTCATAACAGGTAACAGGCTATGTCATACTAACACATTTAAACACAGGCTTAACATTTTAAGACCAAAGCTCGACTCGGCTCGACCCGTTAACACCCCTACTCATCACTCAAACATAGTAAAACCTCCCATGTCTACATAATCATCATGTAGCCGTGTAACAACATAATAATATCATCCTTTTCAGATTCTTTGTTTGGAGAGAGGTAAAAAAAAAACAAAAAGATTTAAGGAAAAATTGAGAATAACTTTTTTTTTTTATAATGGGCCAAAACAGCCCACCATAATAACTCTTCTTCTCGAAGAACCTCCAACAAAAGTTTTTGGCAATTCTCCTCTGTGCACATCAAAAATATAGTGTCATTTTGTTCAAACATCTTTGGATGTTTGCAATTTTTCTGATAACATTATTTTTCTTATTCTCATTGTTGCCAAACACTCTCCTATTCCATATTCTTAATTCCGGCACCAACCTTTGAAGCATAGAGGATGACCTGTTCCCAACTAATATCGGACATTGTCTGGACCAATTCACCAACCGCACCATCCGCTTTATAATGAGCTTGTAGGCCACGAGTTAATTAGACAGTATTTAAACAAATTAAGTTATTTTATTTTTAAATTTTTGTTTTTAAACTTCTGTTAAAAAAAAACCAGTAACAACAAATTGACAGAAAATAAAAATAAAATAGATAGAGAGAATAAATAAAAAAATTAATGTTTTATAATTACTAATAAAAATTTATTAACTGAAAAACATATACCGAAGATCCTATTATTTGTTTGCACCTAACAAAGAATCCAAACAACCTAGGATTATACTTCTCTTTCTCAATGCTTAAACTTGAAAACTTTCAATTTCAACATACGTTCCTTGTTATGCGCGGCACTCAGAAACATTTCATGTTCAAAAACGAGAAAGAAAGAATTAAAAAATTTTTAATATGTAGGAAATATTAATTAATAATTTTATATTTGAAATGAATTGGGTATATGAATATTTTAATTTAACTAATATATATATATATATATATATATAATTATTATAGATTGGGCTTTTCACATTGATTAATACTTTGGACCACTGTTATTAAACCCGACTCGGGCATCAACGTGATTGGGATATTAGGTCACTGGTTGGACCGGTTGATCCAGATATATATTTCATAAAATAAGTTCAAAAATTACTCAAAATGAGTTAAACAAGGTTCACTAAATAAGTTCAAAAATTACTCAATTACACTTTTACAATTTCATAAA